AAGAATCTAATTGCATTGTTTATGCAAACAATGAACGTTTGTTGATCCGATTCTTATGGCTAATGTGAAATCTTGTACTAATTCATGTCCTCTAGACATGGGACTTCCCTGTCGGCGTCTTTGATACATTTTTATTGACACTTTTTGAAAAGTATGCTGACCTTCTTAAGAAGAGGTTTAGTGACGATTTTCAAGAGGTGTGCCCGTTCCTTTTTTAGACGAATTGGTATCCACATTGCTAAGGGACTTTGAAGATCGTTTCGACCGACGATTATATGCCTATGCCGATACAAACAATCGAGGAATATGAGAAGGTGCTGAATGTCAGCTGGTACAATCCAGAAAAACCACACGAAGAACAGATGTAAGAATTCCTCTCATTCAACCTTGATTTGACAACCAAGCCACCAACTCTTCTATCAGGTTCCCTTGCGTCTTACCATTCTCTCAAATGTATCCGCTGTGCTGCATTGATATTCGCAATTTCTTGAATCAATTTTACTTCTTCGCCAATGATGATTTCCCACATACCAATGTGATTGATGAGACACTCAAAGATGTGAGTGGCATACTGACATTAGATATTATCTGCAAGCTAATGACGTAAGGCATTGGACGAACTTCTTTCGAATAAAGTGTGTGATACACTTGTCGAGCGTCTCTCTTCCCAGTACTTGGGACAGATTGTGCAGATTCTTATCAACCTTGAGCATTTTGAACATGCATGCCGCGAGCTCGAGTTGCTTCTTGCAGCGGCAAGATCACAGACCTCTGCTAGTGAGTTTGTGAAGCTGAACGCAACAGAAAAATTCAAGAACAATAAGAAGGCGGCCGAAAAGCGAATCTTTGAGGTAGTCAACTCTAAGATTGATGACCTCATTGAGACAGCTGAGTACGAATGGATGGCTCATATTCCGCCTACGGAGCCGAGTAACTACATGCAAACACTGACCAGGTTCCTTTCTAACATCATGAATTCGACGCTCCTCGGCCTCCCTACGGAAATCAAGGAGCTAATATATTTCGACGCCCTTAGTCACGCAGCAAACATGATCCTGGTTTGTCTCACTTGCACACTGCGAGAAATCTATCTCTGACATAACTCAGGCACTCCCTCTTTCGTCCGATGTGAAAAAAATCAATACAAATGGGGTGCTAGCTCTCGCTAAAGATGTCGAGTATTTATATCAATTTGTCGATAGCCTCGGCGTGCCCATACTACGGGAGAATCTTGACGAGCTGCAGCAAACAGTGCAGTTGATGCAGGCAGACAACACAGATGAGTTCTATGATATATCTACACGAAACAAGAAGTACGGACGTGTAGATGCCATTAACGGCCCCGTCCTTCTAGAGAAGTACGTCAAAGCTAAGCGTGCCGAACCCGAAGTGAAACATGTGCTAATCGATCGCCGAAGGATTATGCGCACTGTGCAAAGCTCTGCGAAAACCGATAAATTCGCTACCTTATCTTCGAGATTCGGAAAGAAATCATGAAACACAATACAGTTGTCCCGATTCTGCTATTTAAGCACATCAAGCAATTGCTGGATCATGTCTACTCAAAACATGACAGAGAGGGCTCATGCGTCTCAGGCTCTCAATTCGCCATTTCCTACCACTAACCAAAGCGTATCAACTCTTCCAATTCCATTTAACATTCAAAAGGTCGAGGAAATCGACTCAAGCACCCTAACACCTAAGCGAGAAACATAAATCATAATATCACTTGTTTAGAAAACTGATTAGTCCATAAACTCGTTCATAACGATAGTTTCAGTGGTACCAATCGAATCCTGATAATGTGACATACCTGTTGCGGTGGCATATGCGGGTAAGCATACATTCCGTCGAACATTTGAGGTTGATGTCCCCCATAAGCCGCGGTAGGGTCCGACTGTACAGCACCGGCATACATTGTCGGCTGTCGGTATTCCGGATCTTGTAATCCGTGCTGGCCTAGCGAGCCATAGTCTGGGGGGGGCATATGGTGTGAAGTGTGCTGAACTCCATGCTGGGCTGCTGGCATTTGATTTGCGGGGCCGGCAGCGCCCGATGCGCTTGCAGCTGCCCCAGCAGTCTGACTTGAACGCTTCGCATGCGATGTAGCCTCCTCCCGAGGTACTATATCAATGAGGAAATCAAACATATCTGATTTCGAAAGAGCTGCTGCGATGTCCGACCTTTGTAGTGTGCGCCGTTTATTGTCTTCAGCATGGATCCATGCGCGCATAGTAAGCTCGGTGATAAAGATGTCGCACCCCTTTGCAAATAGGATAGGCGCTTCGGCTGAGATCATCTTTACCTCCGGGTCGGCTTTCATCACCTTCTTAATACGGGCGAGCGGTAACTGATGTATCTTGTAATCGTGATTATCTGTCTCGAGGTGGTTGATAATGTGCTGCCAGTATGTTGTTAAGATATCCCGAGCCGTTCCTTGCAGTCCTTGATTCACCTGTCCGTTATTAGTTACAATCAAAGTGCAGCTGCCGAAGACCTCTACTCGCATTTGCCCAAGTGCCCGTGTAAAGCTCAGCAACAGGTGCGAAACCTTGCGCAGATAGCTAGACAGATTAAAGCAGTGGTCAGTGTCGGAGTGTTCATAGTCAGAGCCTGCTCGCAGACAAGCCCCGGAGAAGTGGGGAGTCCTACAGCTGCACTGGCTCCTATAGAAATATGCGTCAGCCCAATCCTCAGGTTATGGAGACGTGCTGAGTATGTAGGGAGGGCCAAAAGGTTATACCGTAATGCCCTCCATTTCTGGTGTCATATACAGGCTGCTGTCTGCCCTGCTGCTGTCCAGCACTTTGTGTAGGCTGTTCCATTTTGCGAAGCTCGCTATTGGAAATGAACTCGAATTACATGCAAATAGAATGAAAGGGTTGTTCCGATAAGGTGAGGTAGACGCAGATTAGGTATGGTAGCGACGAATATATGCTGAATAGTATCCCCGCGCCTAATGATAAGAGTAAAGGTGAATAATAGAGATAATAGGAGTGAAGACAGAGGCAAATGCTGGGTAGCAGTCAGGAGAAGAGCTGGGTAAGACAGTAAGTTGACGGCCCATCAGGTGGATGAAGTTGGTGGTAGCGTGCAACAAAGCCGCGCCAAGCTTGGCAGCCTCGGGAGGTACGTACGTAGGTAAGGTACTATGTAGGTACATCACTATACTATATGGATCCCTGCTTACTGTTGAATCACAGCACGTCGATTGTGGACTTTTCGAATCAATGCGGATTATGACTTACAGCTTTCTCCAGGTTCATGATACTAACCTGGGGACCTGTTTGCGAATAGGCTTAGCCCGCCATTCGATTCCAGTCTACATATCCCCCTGTGCGGTGCAGACGCAACACAGTACCGCGACTAGTTACAGTACAGTGCTGATATCAGCTAGACATCCCAGTGCTTACTCTGACATCATGGTGCCACATGCATATCAATCGGTCTATACTGTGTGCATGGTACCATTGGATCCCCCCCAGTTGATGGGAGTATGAGTGGCATAGGAAGGCGGACCGAAAACAGTACCCATGCAGATTTCCAAGCATAGACTTATGGAATTTTACATTCGTATAAGTTACCATTTAATCACACTGTTCAGCAATCTAAGGCGGATTCGACACGCGCGCCCGGACTGTAATGAAACGTATTGACCAGTAGGACAACTCAGTTACTGGTACTGCGGGCCCCCACTGAGAAAATTTTCCTCAACCTAGCCGATGTTGTTCCAAAGTCCAAAAAATAGCTCGACCTTTCTCTCCCCCCATAAATACCGAGTTTTGATTTTGCTTGCTCACTTCTTTCGCCTCCATCCTTTACTCTTGCAGGTTCAATACAACGATAGAGTCGCGCAGTCTGGTCATAAGGACCATGACAGGGGCAACATGCTCTAAACTTGATGACCTCCAAATACAGGATGGCATTATCTTAACAGATCAGGAGATAGAACAGCTTCTCCTTGAAGCTGAAGATCGGCTCCAGGGTTGCGATGGCGAAAGACCCAAAGAATCTGACCATATACAGGCTGCAGACTCACTCTCTGAGCAACATTTGATACGGTTTGTCTTTCGGCGGCATCTGCTCCAAGGTATTCTCTGCCTTAGCATAAAGCTAATTCTATACTCATCAGGACACCAAAATTATCTGGCAGTACAGCTCTCGAGCCGTATTTCCATCCCAAAGATGATGTAGCATTGGTAGATACTGCCAGGTTGCTGACTTCTGAAGACTACAATGATGGTCATACTAAAAGGCCAAGCGGAACTATTCACGATTCAAAGAGCTTGAAGGTAAGAGTCCCTGTCTCTTTTGTTGCTTGTTTCAGTGGATCAACCCATCGCAATGAGGAAAATATATCGCGTAAGCGCTTGATACAGCTTATCATCCCGTACTGGGCTGCGCTGTGCCAATGAAAGTTCTTTTTTGTTTCATAGTTACTCTGAGCAAATTTCTTTTCGCAACCTTGACATCTCACCGCAAGGAAAGGGTTCAAAGGCTAATTGCATTGAATTCCAGATGAAACCTACGGCTGGTAGTGACTGGTTTGACCTGCCCAAAACCGAACTGACGGCAGAGTTAAGACGAGACCTACAACTTCTTCGAATGCGCTCAGTCTTGGATCCCAAGAGGCATTATAAGAAGGAGAACAGTAAAGCGCAGCCCCCCACTTATTCTCAAATTGGCACGATCATTGAAGGTCCAACGGAGTTCTTCAGTGGTCGCATCGCGAAAAAGGACCGTAAGAAGACATTCGTCGACGAAGCATTGGCACTGGAGAAGGAGACCAAACGCTTTGAGACCAAGTACAGGGACATACAGGCCACCAAACAAAGTGGTAAAAAGGCCTACTACAAAACTCTACGCTCTAGAAGAAATACCAGAGGGAAGTAGACTAGCTCGAAAGTTTATGGGGGGTTCGTTCTCATTCAGGGTCAAGCGATGGCGTGCTGTCACTGGACAGGGCACTTGGTTCATTTATCAAGCCTTGGGTCGAGAATCTCGCGTGCGCTTACCGAACAGGGTCGTCTCGCCCCCAATTCGCGAGATCGCCCCGTTAGCGCCTGTCGGATGGTGGAAACCCGAAAGCGACTGTCTCCATCACCAATCTCTGCACACGTGTCAATTGACATTCGGCTCCAAGGGAGAAGAACGAGCATACTTGCATGTCGATTGCTGCCGAGCGACCAGCGTCTAGGACTTCTTGATGGTTAGCCTTTCCTTCCTGCATGATTGCATCCAGCTCTTCCGCCCTCTTGCATGTGAGCAAACTGTCATCACCTCGGGGAACTGGTTCCAGAACAGCCTTATTAGTCACGAGACTCAATGCTAGGACTCGCACGCCGCAATGCCTCGCAACAACAATTTCTGGAACAGTGGACATCCCCACCACATCGGCGCCTAATCCGCGGAGCATGCGACATTCTGCTCTGGTCTCATAGCTGTACCAGTTTAGCTGTGCAAACGGAGTATGGGATTACACCGCTCACCTTGGTCCGCCAACAAAAGCATATATACCCTCGTGGAGCCTCCTCTGGTTGCCCGATAGATCCATGGCGGCCCAAGCTTTATGAACATGGCGGCGCAGGTCGAGATCGTAGGCATCAGATAGTGGAGGGAAACGTGGACCGAATTCTTCGGCATTGGGCCCTCTTAGTGGATGAATGCCTGCCAGTCCAGAAAGGAATAAATGCTGTACACCTTTCAGAATAAGCCACTCTTTTAGAGCATAAGGGTTTGTCCACTGACGTCGTTGAGTAGCACAATGTCTCCCACCATATAATCGGGATTTAAGGCCCCCGCGGCATTGGTTACTATCACCATTTGAACGTGTTAGTTTCGAGATATGAAAGGCAATCACTCCTGCCGTACCCTCTTCAATCTGCCTGAGGTGAAAAGGGAAGACTGACAGATTATTGTGTCAATGCCAATTAGCTTAAACACGCGTACAGGAAATGTCACTCGATCAAGAGAATGGCCCTCGTAGTAACTGTGAACAGGTCGCAGTCAATCAGCAATCCATGCAGTCATTGGACTTGACGAAGATGGAGGTTTATCTTACTGAGCTCGGCCCACCATCAACACTGCAGGGACCTGCCCGTTGAGACATCCAAAGACGAGTTTTCCTGCGTGGCCGGCAACTTATAGATGCAAGGTAAGCACTGAGATTTAAGTAATGACGAACTCGTGGAGTCTAAAGGTCACCTGTTAGATGAGGGAAATGAGGAATTGACTTGAAGTCAAATTCGGCTCGCGGTTGGGCGTCAATTGTTTTGGCGAGCCCGCCCAAGCCAGAGCCACAGATTATGGCGATGCGAGGGGCTTGCAACGGAGACGGCAAGCGATCTCTTAAAAAGAGAGCTGCTTCACACGCTTGCTCATATGAAGAATGTGTCATATTTTTGGGTCACAAAGACACTTCTAAATAGAGCACTAGGTGAAGGTAATAAGTCACGGCTGCTGCTAGGTTAAGAAGGACGGGCAAGTCACTCCGTAGAATACACACACATAACTCAAGTGATAGGTTGGTTGTTGAACATTACTAAGTTAAGAACATCGATCAAGTTACCGCTCTCTGGACTGTGTAGAAAAGAGCCCCAAAAGTGCGAGCGCATTGTCGAAAATCCCAAAATAGATTTTGAATAGGATCAGTACTAAAATCCATCATGTTATTCTAGAGACTTTGAAGTAATAGGGTCTCTGTCAAAACACTCATACCCTACATCATTTATGTCGCCATGAGCTTTATCATATCCATGTTTCTTTTGTAAGAATAAGCAATAGTATACCGGTATATATAGTTCAGAGTCTTAATAATAAGATATATGCCGGCTATCAACTAGTTTATGAATATCATATAATTGTCCCAATCAAGAGAATAAGTTCATGACTAGATTAGAAGATGGGCACAGTATGTACATCTATCTAGTAGTATGCAGGTTTTTCTTTGCACTTCTGACTTACCAGATATATTGACTCTTAGTACTTAAAGCCCCCACACAAGGAGGATGGAGATGGATTCAAAGGATTAAAGTGATCGATTCCACAATCATACTGATAACACTGAGATAGATAACTTACAATATAGGAAAGGAACTCAGACTATAGAAGAGCCGATCTTGTTTTTTCGGTTGCGTGGCCCAAAAACAACTTACTAAGCAGGTTTATCATATGACTGCTGAATAAGCTAGTTATCTATACAAAACAGAAATTTTGTGTCGCATTAATTTTTTTATTACTTTTATATAGAACGGTTTTTAAACCTGCTTTTTAACTGCTTTTTAACTGCTTTACAACTATTTATATTAGGATTATTAGGATTTTTAGGGTTATTAGAGTTATTAGAATCTATATTATATTAGGATTTTTTTTATTAGGGAGTATCTTTTATTATTCTTTTATATTAGGATCCTTTATTAGGGAATATCTTGAATATTCTAAAATATAAGTCTGTTTTTTTAAAAAAAATTAATATATAAAAGTAGTAATACATGTAACATAAGTTCATGTGGTATGTTCTTGCGTTTTAATTGGCGCTAAGTGGGGTCGGTTCATCTGAATATTTCAAAATGCTTAGATGACCTGTAGACACAAAGGAACTAGCTAACTAACTAATAAAATCAATTACTAAGCCAATCTTTCCTGCGACCATCGTTGGCCTGAGGTCAGTGTACCTAATCAACCCCTTCTATTATGCTAGCTATGTGATAGGATTCGAATTTCCTGGACCAATGCTCACTTGACCAGTCTTGAATAGGTCTTTCTATTCTTCATTATCGGGATCCCGTGTGTTCAACCTGGACGCTGTACATATTGGTGGATGTACCATAGCACTGTAAGTAATAGGGCAGATTAGGCTGAGCCTGCATTTGTTTAACTACTAAACAATTTGGCCTTAATTATCAAATAATCACGGAGAAGGGTGTGTATCTGACCCTGACAGGCCAGTGATGTAGAGCCTTACTTACCAAATTTCGATCAAACCGGGCAGGGTTCAGTACTGACATTAAAAACCTCATCCACCAATGGAAGGATGAAGCATTATGAAACCATCCACTCTCCATGAACGACGGCATACGTGTAAAAGACTGTTAAAGAACATGCGTACCTACGATTTGCAGGAGAGGGGTGACAGAATAGAGGAGAAAAGAGGACGTGTAGCCCTTGTCCATGATGTGGGAAGATCAGCGCCTTCAAACTATAGAAAGCGCATCTTCCAAAAGCGGCCACAGTATTGAGGCCTTAGTGATGTGATAAAAGCAGTCTTGTTATAATAAGGAATATGCGAGACTACCACAGTGATTACAGTAATATTCCAGAGTACCGATGACATGTCCAGTCTATCAAAGGTAAAGAGATAGATTACTGTTGCACTAGAATATTTCAGGATTAAAGCCTACTAGAATTTGCACTGAACTTCTTTGCCCAGGGCTGTGCTCATAACGAGAATGCCCGCGAGGAACAAGCGATTATAGTCAGGCTTACATATAATCGATGAGAGTATACTTCAGAAAGCCAGCAATACTTGCAAGGATTGAATAACTGGATATCGGCGGTGGCAGTGGGGAATATAAAGCCAAAATGTTAGCCCGTTAACTGAAGCTCGCTGGAATGATGAAGATCGGGGTTGTCGTTATTGATGCATTGTTGAGACTACAATTTTTGAACTCATTTTTGTCATGATTGAAATAGTCACAGGATTAACTTCAGATGACAGAGGGAAACAGCATCTATGATCGGCGAGTATCAAAAATTTAAACGCTTTCAAGAACCGTTTCCTTGAACTCCCTCTCAACCTTGTGACCCTTGTCATCGGTCGTAGACTCTCCGTGCAGGTTAAGCAGCGCACCGAGGTCGAACTTGGGGGACTTGAGAAGCTTGACCTTGCGGATGTGGACCTAGTGTCTGGTTAGTAGTCTGATAATATTAGATATCCGTGTCGCTAGACTAACGTTCTGCAGAGGATAGATGCCCTGGGTAGACTTCTCAATCTCACGGCCGATAACCTCGGGAATTAGCTTGGTGGTAAGCTGGGCGAGAGAGCAGCTGGCAGCTTCGCGCTGGATGATCTCGGTCATCTTCTTGCGGATAGCACGGATCTGGGAGGAGCGAGCGTATGTGGTCTTCTTGATCTGGTTGGGGCGTCTCTTGGTAAAGGCAATGGCGAAGAGACGAAGGAGATAGTCGTCGGTGGTCTTAACGGTGACATTGGCCTCGATCAAAGACTGCCACTTGCGCACCAGGGAACGGAGCTTGTCGGTGGTGAAATCCAACCCGTGGAAGTTGGTCAAGCAGTTCTTTCCCTGGATTTCGTCGACACGGAGCTTGACCTTGCGGAAGGCGTGATCCTCATCGTTCTGCAGGTCGGCAAGGGAGACCTCGACGATCCGGCCCTTCAAAGAGTCGTTGGCGTTCTTCAGACCGCTGGTGCGGTTGACCAGAGTCTTTCCAACACTTTATAAAGGCTTGTTAGTGTCATTGTCGTATACCCGGGGCCACGAGGTAAATGTTGCACGAGATAATGTCATAAACGGAACGTTGGGGTCGCAGCATACTCTCTGATTTGGAAAGTTGAAGGAGCCTAATTGCGATCAGTCGAAGCCAGAGCGCTACTATTGAATGCAAAATAACTCTACCTTCAAGGAGTACTCGTCCTTTCTGGAGAAGGGATCAACGGTTCTCTTCTTGATGCCCTTCTTGCCCTTCGACAAGCGCTTGTTCCTACCAAGCAATCAGTTACTGAACGCTCAAATTGTAGTCTGATTTTCGGTAGGTTGAGAGGGGATGTAAAATTTCGCATACTTTCCGACGGCCATTATTGCGACTCAGGTCTATCCCGCAACAGTTGAAGACAGACTGAAATATCACACCAAGCGCACTGGTGGAGGGAGTCGATTCGATTGTCGCTGGCTTGCTGCTCAATCGCGGAAAAGTGTAGAAATCCAAATCCCACAGAAAAGTCAGCTAAGCGAGCCGTCGGCCCTACCACCAAATTACATAATATGCTTCCCCACAAATATGCTGCCTTAAGAGGTTTTGATTGGCCCCCGTCGGTCAACCACGCGTGACTCTGAATCCATTTTCCATAGATCTATAATAACTTGTTATTGGAATAGTTTGATACAGCATATAGTTTGTTGCAAAGTTCTGTCTATGTCACTATCTGCAAATGCAGGCTCTAGGCTCTTCTCTTCAAATCCGGTATATCTATCAAGATCGGCAAATCAGACAGGATACTCCGTATAATCTTCAGTGTTCTCTGTCTCCTATAGTCATGTTTAAAGATTTATCCCAATGGAATGCCAATTGTGTGGGGCTATACAGAATATGCAGATTTCTCGGTGTAAGCAGCATGACTGTCACTTGCTGTTAGGATGTACAGTATGGACGTGCGAAGTTACCCTTTTTAATATTCTAAGACTTTACTTGGTTTTCGCATTTCCCGCGAAGAGAAATACTATTTAAGTGCCTGGAAATACAGTATGCTGATTGGCAACTCCCCACCGCTTTAGTTACATGATATTTTATGTACCGCAAGGAAGATTTATCGATCAATGTGAACAAAGTACTTGGTACTCCGTACTTTCTTCCTTGCTAGCTGCATGTGTATTTCCAATTTACGGGAAATTTACATATGGGCAAGTGGTCCGGGTGCTGACATCAGATTACCGACGGCCCGTGACCATGAACTCAACAGGATTAGAGTGTTCATACTTTCTGGCCTCGCACCATCATAGATCACAAAAGTTTGAATCATGGTATGTTATCTGACTTCTTGGTGATAATGGCGATAATTCTAATGCTCGGTTTGCAATTTAGGGTAAGCGAAAGAAGTCGAGCAGGCAGCCCCAACAAACACGAAAGGTGATTGATGCGCTGGGTACCTATGACTCTCACTGTTTATTGACTCGCGACAGAAAGAACCACTGCCCACCACATTTGCATGTCTGTTTTGCAACCACGAGAACTCGATCATAGTAAAACTGGACAAGAAGCTTGGTCTGGGAAACCTCACTTGCAAAGTGTGCGGGCAACGATTTCAGACAGGAATCAATTGTGAGTCCGCCTTCCCCGGATCATGTTCGAGGATGTCGGCCTGCTCATCTCACGCTCTAGACCTCTCTGCCGCCGTTGACGTGTACTCGGACTGGGTGGATGCTTGTGATGCGGTTGCCAAAGACACTGCCCATAGATACGAAGAAAGTGATGCCCGCGTCGGACACTCAAATGACTTCAGTGCTTCACCTAGTGCTCGAAACCTGAATACCGAAGATGTGGATCCTGGTGCAGAATATGCTGATGATTACTGACGTTCCTGCGACAATTGGCGGGGAGTAAAAACCAGATATGCCTTGCTCTGGTTTAAAGACTTCATTAATGCCTAAATACCGCTATATTGAGTGTAATAAAAGTAATATCATTCAAAGAAGATCCCGTCATGACCACCCCCATACACCTGACAACCTCTTACAAGTACCAATGTCGATCTAGAGTGTATAGTATCTATCACCGAAGTCACCCAGCCCCGGGATGATATATCTAGCGGTGGCGGTCAGCCGGTCCCACCTTTTATACTGTGGACAATGCGCGACACTTACTTTTTCTCATCCAA